GGAGCAGGAGGGGGAGGCACAGCCCCCCAGGGGGAGGGCATTTCAAGGCATTTCGTCCTGGCATCTTTTCACTGAGGGTGTTTAAGGGTTCACCAGCACCCCAATACCTTCAATAAAATAGTATTCTATTTATTTATTTATTTATTTATTTATTTATTTATTTATTTAAATCACAAGCTCACAAGTGCCCTGATACCTTAAATAAAATAATAAAAAAATGATCTCTTTATGTATAAACATTTATCTATATATAATATCTATTTAAAGAAATATATATATATTTATATATTTAATTAATTTAAATATCTATAAACAGATATTTATAAATAAAATAAATAATATAAATAAATAAATATAAAATAAATAATATAAATAATATAAATAAAACCTTGGGAACCAATCCCAGCCTTCTCCTCAGCCACTTCAGTCCAGTCGGGCAGTGCACAGGAATTTTCGTTGTGTCTGAGCTCAGGCACTGCAGAGCCAAGATCAGGGGAAAAAAAAAAAAAACAACAAAATCTCACTTTCCCAGAGGATTTTTTTTCCCAGCTTGTCTCTAGAACAGCTCCAGGTTTGCCCCCACGGGTCCCAGCATGGGAACAAACCTTCCTGAGGCCAAAGGGGCTCCCATTTCTCATGTCCCCCGTGCCCAGAACAGCCTGAAGGAATGCAGACAATTCCCTGCTCCTGCCCGCCTTTGACTTTCCCAGAGAATTTCCAGTCTCCGGGAACACCTGGAGGAAGGATCCCTGCACCCCCAGCGAGCCCTGGGCTGCAAACAGGCCAGGAGAGGGGAGCACAGAGCATCTTGTGGAGGGAACTGCAGACACCCCCATCCCCCCCCGAGGAGGTGCCAGGAAGGATTTGAGCCGGGAATGGAAGGTGGAACATCGAAATCCCGGCTCTCAGTTCCAGTGACCTCACTGCTCAGCTCGGTTTTCCACTCCCTGTGGTATTTTTGCACATTCTCCATCCCCAGCTCTGGAAAAGGCCCCACAGTTCAATGTCTGTGGAGAAACAGAAAAATCCCTGTTTGGGTTGCACACCCACCGAGAGCCGGGGAGGAGGGGACAGTCCTTCGGCACCACCTGCACAAAACACCTTCCCTGGTGCTCTTCCCTGGATTTCCCCTTCCTCTGTTAGCAATCAATTATTTTCCCTTCCAAGCAATCAATTATTAAAAATATTTAAGTAATCCCAAGTTTGCTCTGGCAGTGTGTGACGGACTTTCACCGCCTGTGTCACACGGGACACGCTGTCTGCCTCCAACACCATTTAATTTGTATTTTGTGTTATTTTTACAAGTTGTTTTATAGCTGTTTATTCAAAAAAGTGCACGCAGAGCCCCCCATTCCCCCCAGGAGCCCAGACTGGGAGCCCAGCCCTGCTCCCAGGGGGGACTCATTGTGGGGCAGGTCATGAGAGGGAGCCCAAAGCGGGGTGAGGGAAACCAGACTGGGGTGAGTGAAACCAGATTGGTGTGCATGAGCTGAAACTGGTGGGAATGAGCCCAAACTGGTGTGAATGAACCCAGACTGGTGGGAATGAGCCCAGACTGGTGGGAATGAGCCCAGACTGGTGGGAATGACCCGAGTTGGGGGGTGTTCAGGACTACAGCCCAGCTGTGTCCCCCTTTGCTCTGGGACAACTCCACTCCAGAACAATGTTCTGTCTGGGGAAATTTGCCCAGGTTTGTGCCCAGTGATGCAGCCTGGGCTGGGGGCAGCTCAGAGGGGCTCCCTGGGACGGGCCCAGGGTGTCCTGGGGCAGCTGATGGAGAGGCAAACCAGCCTCCCTGGGTCCCACTGCCCTCCTGCTTGTTTGTCCTCCATGCAGTGATGGGATTTTATTGTCAGTTTTGTGGAATTACGCGTCCTGACACACCCAGGGCTGCCATCGAGGTGGTTTTTTTTGCATTGTCTCTTCTGAGCTCAGGCTTAACTTTCCCTGTGCTTTTCTTCACCTGTCCCCTCTAAGCAAAGCAACTGATTTTGTTTGAGTCTTGGTCTAAAAAGCACCTTTTGTGGGAGTGAGAGCAGGACCTGCTGAGCACTGGGACTTCCCTCTCTGCATTTACAATTTTGGCTTAAATAAAGTACAGCGAGAAAAATGCAGGCTGAGCCCAGACTTTGCCAGGTTGGATGTGCTGAGGGAAGGGCCAGCTCACCTTTCCAGAGGAAGGTAAAAAGCCTGGGCTTGTGTGCTTGGCTGAAAGAGGGCAGGTGCTGAGGCTGAACTTCTTCATGCTCAGTTCATCTCCTTTGTGGAATAAACTCTTCCAACCGCAGCAAAATCCAGGTGAGTTGGTAGTAGCTAAGACTTGGTTATTTCTGGTGGCTGTTCAAGGTGCCTCTGGTAAGGGCTCGTGTGAAATGGGAGTTTGGGAGGCTCTGGGGACCAGGGCAGGAGGAGGTGACAGTTTGGGCAGTGTCACATCCCAGGGAAAACATCCTTTGTGTCGGGCAGAAGTGCTCTGGGAAGAAAATCCCCAAGCTTGAGCTCCCCAGGATAACAAAAAGCCAGTTTTTGAGGAAACCCGTTGCCCAGGATTCTCCTGCTCCGTTTGCTTCCCCTCGGCAAGGAACTGCACAGAGCCCAGCACAGATTGTGTAGTTCTTTAATAGTAACATCAAGGTCAGCAAGAGTAATGACTGGATTTAACACACGACACATGCAACAAACAGGGGGAGTAAAACATCACTGGCTGAACTGACAACATGAAACTCAACAGCACAACAGGGGCTGGTTCTGCTTCTTCCCTGCATCAGCACCACACACGAGGCAGCATCCCCTGACTGCTTACCCCAAATCTTGCCAGAGCCCTCAGAAGCCAGACATCCCCCCCCCCCTTCCCCAAAATAAACAGTGCCAGAAGATGCCTTGGCACGCCAAGGAGCGGGGAGGGAGTTCGGGCGACCGCAAAGTCCACGTGGGTGAGCACTTCAAAGCACAGCAACAATCTGCAACACTCTGGCAATCAAAACAAAGAATAACCTGCCTCTCTGCCCAACACAGCTGCTGGCCCTGAGGCTGACAGAGAGTTCTGAAGGAATGAGAAACACTGACCTGTTTAGAGCAAACGAAACGCCTGGCGGGTCGGTTGGTGCCACCAGATCTGTTTGCTGCTGCTCAGACCAGCCCAGACTGGGGCAATGGGCAGCCAGTGAGACCTGCCGGGGTCTCTGAGCTGGCAGAGCAGCTGTGGGGTCACTGCTCTGGCTCTGGGGTGGGCACAGCCTCTGGAGATGGCTGGTGTGGGCTGAGCACCTGCACAGCGTGTTCCAGGAGAGGTCGATAGACACAGAGTACACAGGGCACCGCCCAGCAGGGCACGGTGCTCCAGCTCATCCACCCTCATTTACACAGCATTAATTGCCAGGGGGAGATGAGTTCGTTTCAGGGCCAAGTTTTCACTCTGGATGGCCTTTAGCATTAAGTTCCCCAGTCGGTCTTTAGGGTCTGGCACAAAGGGAGTGCAGAGTTTAAAGGCACCTGCAGCCCTTTTGGGAGCCGTTTCTGCAGCCAGACGTAGGTTGATCCTAAATTACAGAATCACAGAATGCTTTGGGTTGGGAGGGACTGCAAAGCCCATCCAGTGCCACCCCTGCCAGGGGCAGGAACACCTCCCACTCTCCCAGGTTACTCCATCCTGGCCTTGGACACTTCCAGGGATCCAGGGGCAGCCACAGCTTCTCTGGGAATTCCATCCCAGCCCCTCCCCACCCTCCCAGGGAGGAGTTCTTTCCTAAATACAAACCAGGTACAAAATCCACCAGCAAACACGCTCTCATTTTTTTTCTGAGAACGTTGGGAAGTGCCACCAAAGCTGATCCACTGCGGGTTGGCAGTGCTTGGCTTTGTCCCCCCACCCGTTCTGGAGCACCCACCGTGCTCCAGTGGGATACCCCCCTGGATCAACCCCTTTGCCAACGGATCAAGGAGCTGCAGTGCCTCAATTAATGCCATGTAAAACAGGTGTTCGTCACTACAGGAAATATTTGTACATTTATAACAAAAAAAAAAAAAAAAAAAAAAAAAAAAAAAAAAAAAAAAAAAAAAAAAAAAAAAAAAAAAAAAAAAAAAAAAAAAAAAAAAAAAAAAAAAAAAAAAAAAAAAAAAAAAAAAAAAAAAAAAAGAAAAAAAAGAAGCAATACAACCGTACAGAAAAAAAAAATAAAATACAACAAGCACAGCTTGATACGATAACATGCCATGAAATGTCATTGGCTTTAGAATAATTTACTACAACTTGAAAAATGTTCTTTTATCCACAAGGGATAGGAAATGCTTCCATCTAACATATGGTAAGCATGCAGCAACAATATGTACAACAAAAAATTTGGAGCTTGCTTTTTACTCACGAACTGGATGATTGCACGGGGGGGATTTGAAAATCAGGGTTTTTCTGGCCTAGGCTTGATCTAGGCTTTATTTTGCTTCTTTAAATCTGCAGATTTTTTTTTCCCCCTAGTTTGGGGAGAATGAATATTTCTATATACATCTGCAAGAAGTTGTGGAGAATACACTACTTTTATTTTTCCCCCAGCTGTAGGTTTATTGGTTAATTAACCAATTAACTATTTTATTGGTTAATGGACACTTAGAAACCAAAATTCCCAACGCCACATTGAAAATCCATTTCCTTTCCACACTTTCTGAAACACTGAGGATCTGTTAGGGTCGTATCTACTGATCCTGTGTGACACAGTTCCCAGTTTTTACACCTTCCATCAGGAAACCAACTCAAACCTTTCCTAACCAGACCCTTCCATCCCACGAGGGAGCCCGACCAAACTCGTGTCAGGGGTGTTAAAGCTTCTCCCTCCCACCTGCCAACCACAAAGTCGTCCTGTGGAGCCACCCACGGTCCTGTAGCTGATCCATCTGAAGGGGTGAGCAGCAAAAGGGGTGTTTTTGCTGCCAGCTGGGCACTGCTCCGTGCTGCCTGCAGCCAGAACAGCGTGGGGGAGGCAAAGGAGCCTTTGGCCCTGCCTGGGGACTGAATCCTTGCATCCCTCGTGACAGGTGTGTTTGTCTCACCCAAGACCTGGCCCTGACCCAGGGGAGGGTCGAGCTGGTGTGTGACAGTGACCCAGAGCTGAGGGCTCACTCTGTCCCCACCCAAAGGGGCCCAGGGCAAGTCTCTCTCTCCTCTCTTCCCTTTCCTCCTTGAGCAATTTTTTTTTCTTTTTCCTTTTTTTTTTTTTTTCCCCTTGTTTTGCTAGAAAAGCTAGAATTAATATTTCCAGCAGCACTGAAGGAAGTACTTGGCAAAGCATTTCTTTATCTGGTAAAAAAAAAAAAAAACACGAGGTGACAACCCTTTGCTGTCGATAGAACTGCAGCTACAAAGCTGGTCCATCTCTGGGGACGTTTTGCCGTTTGCAGAGGCAGAGCCTTGTAAGATCTGATCCCACCAGGGAGCCAGAGCTGCAGCGCTGAGAGCTCTCCCCTGTCCCTGGCTCTGGGTTGCAAAGGCAGGTGCTCAGGTTTGCTGCAGGATACAGGTGTGCATGAGTGATGTGGAGGGATGGGGTGGGGGGTCCCGTGGAGGTGAGGAGACAGCAGGAGAAATGCAGCCAGTGCATTCCTTGGCAGACTGATTCCCATCTGGGGAGTGCCGTGGGCTGAGTTTTGCCTCAGTCAACAACTGCTAATGGGAGTGATGCTGTGGAGAGCTGACAGGAGTGAGTAAGCAACACTGGCTCTTCTGCACTCCGAGTTTGGGAGGCATCTGCTACTTATTTAGGAAAGGAAAGGAAAACAAAACATAAAAATCCACATGAAAAAACATTTCCAGGGCACAAGAACGGGATTTACAGAAACAGGAAGGCATCAGCGGTGACCATTTCAAACTGTCGGGAACAAGGAGCCCAAGCAGACTGGATTTGGAGATCTCCATCCACCAAACCTCTGGTTTGGACTCAGAATCTTCCCCTTTAAAGTGGAAACGTTGAATTACACCTCAGAACTGCGGGGTGATTGACGGGATGCACGTTAACTGTCCGCACTGAAAGCAAAGTTTTTCCTCCCAACCTTACCTTTCCCACATTCCTCAATGCTCACCACCTCCTCTGTCCCGCTGGCAGCACTGAGGGCTGACCTGCCCCCAGTTATTCCGTGTCCTCAGGGATGGGGTCACAGCCTCGTGACACCCCGACTGGGTTATTTCCCCGTGGAATTCCTTTCTCCTTGTTCCGCTCCATTTCCATCCACCTGCACTTCCACATACCAACCCCCTCGGATCCACACCCCGGAGACCTACCCCCTTCTCCTTTCCAGACCCTCTGAGATGGCGATACCTTCCCGTCTCCAGCCCATGGTCCGTGGGAACAGCTGCCTGCCAGTGATTCCCCCCAGCTCTTGGAGGGTCCCTGTGCTCGGAGCTGCTGCTGTCACCACTCCCTTGGCAGCTGGCACAGCAGCAGGAGGTGGTTGGTGTCCTGCCACACACCCAGCCTTGCCCCAGGACCTTTGTGCAGCCGTCTCCAGGTCGCTGGCTGGGATGTCTGCACTTGGAGGAGTCTTTGGCAGTCCTTCCCCGGGGACAATCTCCTTTGTAAAGAGCTCACTCCTGGTTATCCATTCCATTTTTTCCAGAAGGTGTCCTGGAATCACCACGGTAAGGCCCAGGGTGGGACCAAGAGCAGGGAGAGCCTCTCTGGGATGGAGCTCGGGGCTGTTTGTCCCCCCTCCCGCAGTCTCTTGGCCCGTCTTGCTGCGATAGTTTGGTGGCACCGATGCACAGGGGAGTCAAAAAACGAAAGAAAACGAAAGGACAAAGACGACGACGAGGACGAAGTGGTTGTTGGTTCTGCTGTCACCCATTCCAAGGACGCTCCGGCTTCCTCTGCCCCCTTCCCCCCAGGGTGGATGTGATACAGTACTGCTGAAAGAGCCTCTGGGACACTCGTGGAAGAGA